GCCATTCGCTTTAAATCATGTTACCTATTTATGCAAGGCTCTCAAGTAAAAGACCGTACTTTTTATAGTTGTATTCACCTTATGATCCATGTGGTTACTCTTTTGCCTCACCTATGAAAGCCTTTCTCAGGGCTGCCTGTTGGTGCAGTACATTGTATGGCTTTCTCTGGCCTCCTCGTCAATAATAACACTGGACAATAATATATCACTTGCCATTGCTCTTTGTGACGCTATTCCTTGAACCTCTCATTGGCTAAAAACATGCATCAAGATGGAGACTATATCAAGTCTCCTTCTAACCGTATCATCTCATCAGGCATGTGTGAACCATGCAAATATTTAACAGTTTCCATTGAACACAAAATCATTAGATTAACATATTAGACACCCAAAATTTCTACCTGGAGCTGAATATCCTCCAATTTTCTTCTTACTGAGAGTATATCACCACTTTCTCCACCTGCAATTTTAAGGCAACTATTAAATAAAATACAGTTGAATTCAAACCAGAAATATTTTTAAGCCCACATTGTGCAAGTTATTGAGCGCACCAATTTCATTCCAGAAAACATTTTTCTACACCATAAATTTTACCTGTATTACATTTCCATTTCTACTCCAATTGAAAAGCATGGTGTGCGGGGTCATAAATGATTTGAGTAGAGCAAGGAAGGGTAAAGAACACTTGTTTGCAATGAATTCTGTAAGATTAGAATATTAAGCATTTGATAGAGTGAAATATTTTTAAAGCTCTTTCTCTCCCATCTCTTCGTAGACCATTCCTTAGTGGAGGAGAAGTGGATAATCACTTTATTTTATGTTGCTATGAAAATACCAGTCTGAAGGAATTCACTAATCCCACAGGTGCAGAAGTTGAAGGACTCTTATAAAAGCTGAACTACAGCTGCCTGTGAAATATTTTTCCTATGTTTCATGGAGCAGGTTAAGAAAAGAAGTCATGCTTTCTAAATTGGCAGATATTTAATAATTCTAATACTTATTTGCAATTATCCACTGAAATGATAGTAGGAAACTATATTGTCATCCTTAGAGGCAGCTATGTATATGAACAAGCTAATTTAATACCTGAATATTTAAAGCCTAAGCTAACTGTGCTTTTCTGCAACTGCTCTTTCAAACATTAACTGCTAGCTAATGCCCAGCCATAGCTTAATCTATGAAAAATAGTAGAAGTTTTTATTTGTTCAAAAATCAAAAATGTTGAGCAATACCAGTTTTAAATGTTAAAAAAAAACCAGTCAAAGACTGTGGCCACTAATTAACACAATCAAACAATTACTTGGGAATATAAGGTCAAAAGCTCCCCACAAAACTTCACAAGACTGATGTCAAAACCTTTACAAACACAGCCAAAAACTGTTGTGATTGACTGCAAACTTCTGCTTACCACGCCCCTAATATTTAATGTATGTATTTTAACTACTGATAAAACTTCTACTGACACCTAGGCCAAGGTTTTTATTTCACTGTTCCTTTCTTTAATAAGAAAGGACAGTTGAACATATTCCAAACCGACTTTCCAATGTATCAGGGAATCTGATAATTTCAGTCCTGAAATTTCAAAGAGGAATACGACCATTGATTTCAGAGAACTACCCATACCTCAGACTCTTGCTATTTGTATTCTCTACCTTCTGAAAGGGTACAGAACATGTATAAAAACCAATTTTACTATATTACAAAGTAATGAAAAAGTTAGTTGTACCTTTCTCAAAAAGTTAAAAAAAAGTTAGATGAGTTGTAAATTAAAAAACTCACCTGTACCAGATGTATCCACACCAGAGCTCTCAGAAGATTCCTTAAAAGCACATGAAAGGAATTTTAATACCTGGTAGCTTAAGCTGTATTAATTAACCTGTAAAATTTTCTGCTTTCACTACTTGCTCAATTTTTTTGAGGGGTGGTGGTAATGAAATAAATACAGTTGTATTCCAAAGATTCTCTCCAAATCACACCATCTTTAATAACAAATCTATACACAAACTTAATTTGAGTCAAAAGAAGCTATTCTAGACTACACAGATTTTACAAATAATTTTAGAAGTTAGATCCACATATTGTCTAACTTAAAAAGCACTTGATGGTTAAAAGCCTACATCCAACTGCTCTCTCTTTACCTCCAAATAAACTTAATTCAGTTTAAATCCACAACTGACACTGCGGTACAGGGCCACCCGCTGATAAATGATTTCTTAGCTTTTGACTACGTAAACACATTTTCTCAAAGAGGCTGTCACAGGATGGCTGGGGTTAGAAGGGACCTTAAGGATCTTCTAGTACCAACCTCTCTGTGACGGCCAGATTGCTGAAAGCCTCACACAGCCTGGAACACTCCACAAAAACAGATGCAATTTGGTGCCCATACCTGGTGTACTGTTGAGTGCTCATCTTCAGAATCACTGCTCTGTTGCTTGGATATTTCTTAGCATGAGTGGGAAGGAAAAAAAATTCCATTACTTTTACAATATCTAGCCCCTCTTGTTATTTTTGTTTTAAATTTCTTTTATTTTTCTCTCTATTTATGTCCTATCACAGTGGCTTTAGTAATTGATTTCTTTATATGACTCACTCCAGCCAATCACACTACTATGAAACACAAAACAAAGTACTCCAGCACATTTTTTATCACTGTTGAACAGTGATGGAAACTCGCTTTGTGTGCTTTATGCTCAAGGTACCTGTGCCTATCTTCTAGCATGGTGTGTGCTATTTTTACAGTGGGGTGTGATATCCTTGGTTGGCTCAAGCAGCTTTCAAAATTGCCTCTTTAGCATCTGATTATTCCAAAATAAGTCTATTAGTCTGAACTTCCTTGCAAGAAATCGAACAAATTTTACTTTAAGTTTTAGCCCAAATTTGTCAGACATCTTTCTCAGTGGTCAACCCTACCTGGTATCATCTGAGACTTAATTAAGCGTATCCCCACTTCTGTTATTTACTTAAATAAAGTGTAAGTGCACAGGACAAATCCTGTAAAAACATCCCCCATGTTTCCCTCAAGTTTTGACACAGACCACTGATAATTATTCTAAGCACAGTTTTCCAACCAATGGCTATAAAACCACTCTCTCATAAAATTCATCAAGCATATAACTAGAAGGCTCTGGCTTAAGGTTGTAACCTCCTCTGGAAAGTAATCTTCATTACTTTGCAAAACACTACTGTAGTACCTCCTTTACAATATATTTTTTTAGAAGCTGAATAGTGCATTTTCCAAGCATATTTGGATTGAGTAGACAGGAAATTAGAAGAACACAGTTTCCAGTTGAAATCCCTTACTGAGCAAGGTCTACAAAACACTACAGAGAATATTTTGTTGAAGAAATTTTGTTTGAAGAAATTCTCAAGGAAAGAAACCACTTTAAGTGGCTAATACATGACAGAAATATCACTTCTCTTGGAGGCTGAAATTTAACATACCCGGTCCTCCCTTATCGAGAGCTGCTATATATTAAAAAAAACAAAGCACACCACTCTAAACATTGTCATTTTAATCAGTAAAACTTGATGAGGGTGCTGGACATTCTATCTAAACAGTAAAACTTGAATCTAGCAAAATTCAGAGTTGTGAGTTGGAAAAAACACTACTTATATTCTAAGGGGAGGGGTTCACGGATAAATATTTGGTTTAATGTTTACACTTAATAGCACAAAACTTTATGTATCTTAATTGAAATCATTTAGGTCTAGTTAAGAGTAAACAAGTAAGTAAATGACATACATTAGTTCTAATAACCCATAGTCAGAAGTATCTTTTTTCTTTTTTGGGTTGAGGGTTTTAGTTGTGTGAGTTTTTGGTGGTTTTTTGTTGGTTTTTTTTTTATTTTTTTGTTTGTTTGTTTTTGGTGGTTTTTTTGTTTGTTTTTTGTTTTTTTTTTGTTTTGTTTTTTGGTTGGTTTTTTTTTTAAGGCTAACATCAGCTACAACCAGACAGCTCAAATGTTTACTCACATGTCTTTGTGTTTCAAAAAAAGTCAGAGCAAGATAGGGTTTTCTTAACCTGGATAAATTCGCTGAGATTCTATTTTCTATAGAATATGTAAATATACATGTATAAATATAAATCTGTGCAGGCTTGCTTTTTATAACGAAAGTTGTTCACCCAACTTTAGTATTTAGTTAGGTATTTCTTCCCTAGGATAACTTAAAATAAAATTAAAAAATACTTTTAGCGAGTTACATTAGAAATTGCAAAAATACATATTATCCATTTTTCTGCTTTTCTATGTCATCTCTAATGCAGTACACTAAATTTAAAATTAGTAACATCAAGACTTTGCAGCATTAAAAAACTCCAAGTAAACTCATTTTTAGGAGCTTCTAACACAGTCAGACCCTGAATTAGATTGGCAAATATTAGCAAAATATCTCTTCTAAAAGACTTCAAATACTGTATCTTTGAAATTAAAAAAAAATTACTTTCTTTCCAAGTTTTACCACAGACTATAGCCAAATTTTTGTACTACTTGGCCCCATCAGCTAAATGGAGCAAGAGGCAAAGGTCTGGATCATCTGAAACTTTTAGTACCAGACTCTTATTTCCCAGCTCTACATTTAAATTCCTTTGTTTGGTTCAAAGCCTGTACCTGACCATTGTATGGACAGATTTTTGGTAGTGTTGTGGAGGAAGAGAGGTGCTAGGCAGCGCTCTGTCCACTAGTGTTCTAAATAAAAGTTTCTCAGATCAATGAAATAAAATAACACCAGAAAAACCCCACTTCAAAACCCTGAGAGAATAGAGCCCAACATACCTTCACAGTACTATGCTGGAAAATTCCCCCTCCCCCCAATCATTTATCCCAGTAGAAATATGTATTTTATTGGAACATACAGCTCCTTTTCAGAAAAGTGTTCAGATGTCACACACCCCCATAAGTAGTATCATATTTACACTCTGGTGTACAGACTTGCTTTTATTTCTATCCCGGAACTTGATTTCTAACGAAGTAAACTGTATGCTACTTTTTCCTGGAGGCATCCTGATTCATTGAGTATACTGAATAATCTGCTAGATTTTTGATAGCCTATTATGCAACTTTCATGAGATTCTTTCAGTACATATTTCTTAATATGCCCACTTACCTAGTAATCTTCAAAAAGCTAACAACATTCATATTTCTCTACTACATGCAAGTAAGTCAGGATTGGAATTTTTAAGATTTAATGATTATCTGACAAATACAACAAAAAACTTTGATTAATTGATAAGGGATGCTTATTTTAATCAGCTTCTTATGATTGCAGCAATAAATTTACTCATCTTGAACATTTTAAATTACATTTCTGAATCCTTATGAACATAAGTATTGCTGATTTATTAGACGGTTTCTCAGTCAAAACCCAGTGAGCATCCTAAAGGATTTAGCATGAACCTGAGTATCTTCTTTTAAGACAAGACTCTCTGGATAAGATAATTTATAGTAGCTTTTTTTAATTTTAACACTTTACCTGTATTCCTTCGACTTCGTCTATTATGCTGCAATAAAAAAAACCAAACAACAAAACAGAATAATGTAAGAATAGCAAAGTAATTTTAACCATTGCCCTTATTTACTTTAGTACAGCCCACAACTACATAACCATTTGATTTCCCCACGTTTCCCACAGCCTGACCAGAAAAGCCACAAGTATTTAGCAAAACCCACCTGATCATTCACTTTTTCCATTACTTTTGCTGCTAAAATGACTTCAAGAACATCCCTTGGCCCACATAAGAGGCTAAGACAGAGAAATTCCCTTACAGTTTTTAATGGATTTAGTGGGGAAACTTGTGCAGCAATGCTGAGTAGGCTGTGCATGAGCTATTACCAGGAGTGGAAAGGGAACCACGAATACAGCCTCTTTTTGGTCTCCATTAAATCCACTCTTGTTCCCTCAGACTGAATTTCATTCCCCATGCCCTGACTCTGTAGGGTTTAGAGCAGCTTCTGTGTTAACTACCAAGACATACCATATAGGCCATGGGTTTGTCTGACACACTGCAAAGATTCTTTAATTAGTCTGGCAATATTTCAGAGGGAAAAGAAGAAAAAGATTAAATCAAAAAGCCCTATGGAATAGATAAGCTGATTACCTGAAGCAAGATAAATTGATTCAAACATTCGGATCAGTTCCAAAAATACACATTCCCAACAGACATCAATTAAAAATTTCTCCTGGTTTACAAGTGGTGATAAATGGTCATCTATTATAGTCTAATGCATCTGAAAACTTAACACTGTCCTAAAACCCTATTTTAAAGCAAATATTGACCTCATTAATACAGCTGAAAATATTATATAGCATGGCAAGATTAGAATATAATCCTATCTATACATACATAAATTTTGCTGCATTTTGGCTGCATGGTACGACTGTATTATTAAATACCTTAAATATGTCCTTCTTCCATTTTTTAACATCCTTCCTTGACACTTGCCCCCATCGTTTTGGCCCTAGAAAAAGAAAGCAACAATATTAACACATCTTTTCTTGTAACACCATCTATACTGAATATCAGTCAAACATTTAGGAAGAACACATTATAGAATAACAGAGCATTATCAAATCTGAACAGTCTCCACCACATTCGCTGAAATAAAAATTTAGAGGAAAACAAACCAGTAGAATACAGTAATTCAAGTTAATTGAGAAGTCAAGCAAGGCAAGAAAATAATCACATGCTGTGTCTAACAAGACTGATCTAAAATCCAAAGATCATTACAGCCCCATATGCTACCAAGAGGGGAAAAAAGGGCAAATACTTTTAGTTTTTAGTTGATGAATGCAGACCTCATGGTATCTGAGGTTAGCTAAAGCCATAATTAAGGCTCTACAAGATGGAGATCATATTCATTCCATATTGAGGTCACTAACCCAAAAGCATGACCAAACCTTTACAAATCCAAAGCTGTCTATTACAGTCCTCTGTAATGTTTCCTCCCTCTCCCGGCCGGTCCCTTTCCCTGCAGAGCCATGCGGGCGAGACCAGCGTCGGGAGCGGGCCCGGCGGGCCGGGAGCGGGCCCCGCGGGCCGCCTCTGCTCTCTCGGCATGGCTCGCAGTGAACTTGATTCGTTTGGGCGCTTTTAGCCAGCCGTGCCGCGGACAGAAGGACAATTCTTCATTTTGGCGGCCGCATGAAGGATAGGCGCGAAATGAAGCAGGCGGGAACCAGTGATCACGTGCGAGAGACGAGGAGGGCGGGACCCGCCTTTCCACGCTGCAGAACTTTGTACAAACCTTTTCAATTGATAGAACTTGAGAGCAGGCGAACCTACGGACACCAATTCTCTCCCGAATCAGAGAAAAGGGAAAGGTGAACACACGTGAAGATAACAACTTAGTGACGCTAAAGGCGGGAGGGGGAGGAAGAGGTGCTTGAAGCTGAAATTCTTCTGCAAGCTGTGGTGAGGACTATAATACTACAAATTATTTCCCTGTAATTCGTGAAGTGAATGCTAAGAAGCTGTGAACTGGTGAGAGGCGTGAACAGAGAGAGAGAGAACTCTTGCTTCCAGAGATAGAAGAAAACGACCCTTGCTTTTATACTGATCCTTAAAATTTGTAGCCCAAAATTTGAACAGCTGATCCTTAAAAATTGTAGCCCATGAAGTAATGGCCCAGGGAAAAAAGCAGTTGTGAGAAGACTGCTCTGCCCGTTGACTCACCCATGTTGAAGCAGGTTTTGGGTAGACTTGATAAATGTGATTCGTGCTAATAAAATTGTATTAGCAAAAGTGTACTCAAGTCCATAGAAAATAATTGTTACAAAGCAAAAAGGAGATGAGCAAGACAAAGTAGATGGAATTCTCCAGATGTTAGAAGGATGTAGGTTTGATAAGCAGCATCTAGAAATAGAAAGTTTAAACCTTGAAATGGGCCAAAATGGGATGATTCCAGGCATGGGACTCAATTAAAGTCTTATTATGGAAAACATCTGCTCGGTTACATAGGACACATGTGCTACCTGCAGGTCACACCTCGGTCATTGATGAAGATGAGGAGCCTTCATCAGAAATAAGACCCTCAACAGGATGAGAGACCCCTAACTACTAGTAGAGCATGTGCCATACAACATAGTGATGTGGACTTTAGGAACAGAAACTAGGAGGAGTTTTCCAGAAAATTCTGTATTAATATGTATTAGTATATAGGTAGGATTTTTGGCCTTGATCGTTGGTACGTGAGGAGGGGCAAGTCCTTCCCCTTGTCCCTGGTCGGTTTTGCTTATGCTTTACACGAGCCTCAATTATACTAAATTACTCACTTCCAAATCTTGTATATTCTCAAATATACGTATCTAATACTTGGATTGTATTCATTTATATACAATTGTTGCTATTAAAAATTTGCCGCTAAATTTAATCTTGTTGTTTGATAAATTGGACAAATAGAACATCATTCATAACAATTGCGACTTGAAAAAATTAAAACCACATTAAAAAAGTTCACAGAAAACTCTCTCCTGTAGAAAGGACCCCATGGCATAGCAAAAGAGACTACTCTCCCTAAGTGAGCTGAAGAAAAAAATTTATAAGTGACATACTGACCAAAACACCCACGTTTTTGTCTCCCGATGCTGTCATTGAGAAAGAAAAAAAGACTGGGGGGGAAGGGAAAAGTGTTCTAAAGGTTTTAGTTCTCATTATCATAGTTTCAATTCTGTTAATAAATTTTCCTTCATACCTTTTAAAGTGTTTGTCTCCTAATCCTTATCACCCCATGAACTTTTTAATTGTTCTTTTCCCCTCTTCTGCTCAACTATAGCAGAGGAGAATGAATGATTTTTTTCATAGGTGCACTGGCATTTAGCCAGCATCAGCTCCTGACAAGGTATCACAATCCTCACTTCAGTGATAATAAAACCTGCCAGAAACATTTCATTTCCCAGAAAAGCCACCAAGATACTAAGGACTAAGTCACAAATCCTACTAAAAACCTGAGCAATATATATTAAAACAACAGCTTTTTTTTTCTCAGTAAACTTTGCATAAGCATTATTGCTCTATAATGGATCAGCCATTACAACGAAAAACTGGATAAAAATTGTCACAGGTCCACAGGGGAACATTCAATGAAAAGTTAAAAAGACTGTCTACCTATTCCATCCTGATGTTTGGCATAGCAGAAATCTATCAGAGCAGCATGCAGAATATTAAGTGGAGATGAAAATACACAATCCATTCATGCATATCAGCTCCTGCTAATGTCTCTGTTCCTTTGCTTCTTCTCAGTCTTCTCCATTTCGATTCTTCTTACAAGTCGTCCAAACATTACCCATTTTTAGCTTGAACTTTGCTAATAACTATTGTCTTGTCTAAAATGGGAACATGCAATAGACTAAAAGTGCACGAATGAGTAAATTCCCGGTATTATACCCAAGTTTACATATCAAATGTCATACCTTAGTGAACAAAGTTCAGTATCTGTCACACTTAAATATTCTGTAGCTGCCAATACTTGCATGCTTTACTAAGTCTAAAGATACAGTACGTAAACTTGTAGGTTTAAGGAGTTCTTACCCTCAGGTGTATCATAAGTGAGAGTATCCATGGAAACTAGTAAGTCATCTTCAAAAGGATGATTATACTAAATTAAAAAAAAAAACATTAAATATTAGAACAAACGATCAAAGCCATATCTTTAACGTCCGTTTTACATATTGCTTTTAGGACAACTTTTTTTTTTTTTTAATCCTAAACATGAAGTTATTAGTATGTTGTTTCATTGGCTAAAACTAGAAGTCAGCAATCTGGAAATATTAACTCCTAGAATAAATTTTAAGCATGCATGCAAGCCATTCAACCTCAAGGTGTAAGCCAGCCAGTGCCAAAACAGGGCTCCAGAGTTTGCAAAAGCACTTAAGTCACTCTCTTAAGAAGTTTCACCCAAACTTCCACTGTAGAAACTAAAAGCAGCCCCCACCTAAGACCAACAGCTCATGACGTGTAAAAATATCCAATGTGCCACTAGCCGAGAAAAACCTTCTAGAGCAGATTTAGCCCGGTGGCAGCACAAAACACGGCCCGAACGGCAAAGCCGGCATGCAGGATTAACGCGAGCGTCTGTGCACGGAGGAGAACCATTCCCACACCTTAAACACAAAATGGCTCTCGAGGGGGGAGGATTCACGGAGGGAGTCCCCCGCTTTCTGTAGATTCATGGAACCCCCCCCCCCCGCGTCTAACGCAAACTAATCGGGGTTAAGGACACTGTCCGGTCAGCTCGCACTTGTGACCAATCCCGTACCCAGCACTGGTAGTCTCAGGTGCCCGTTTTATGGCTGTATTCCAGGAGCTGCCTCTTCCAGCCCGCTCCTGCCAAGGCGCAGGAGTGCGCAGCTCCGCACAGACCGCACCGCTGCTCTCAGTTCCCGCTTCCCCGCCCGCCTCAGGACGGCGCCCGGAACCCGCGGCCACCCCGGTCGCACAGCTCACCCGTTCCATGATGCGGCTTATGGAGGCCATGAAGCGGGCGTTGCTGCGCCGCAGCCCCTCCCGCACCGCCGCATCCTGCTCCATGGCGCAGAGCCTCTCCCATCGCCGGGCGCCCCCCGCTCGCCACAACCGGTAGAAGGCAGCCGCTCCCACCCCGATTCAAACCGCGCGCCTTCGCCCTGCTCGCCTCCTCCGATTGGCTCTTGCTCAAATCAGTTCTGGGCCTGCAGCCAGTCCAAGCTCGCGGGGGGCGGGCTTTGTATTCTGATTGGCTGCTGCCGCTGCAGAGTGCCCGGTCACCCCCCCTCGACTCCTGGCTTGGAGAGCCGAGCCATGCGCAGCTCCGGGTCACTGTTCTAGCTGGCAACAGCGGCCGGCGGCGGGCTCCCATTGGCTGCGGGGCCGGTGGCGGGCTCCCATTGGCTGCGGGGCTGGTGGCGGGCTCCCATTGGCTGCGGCGCACGGAGCTGCCTGGGCACGAGGCCCGCGTCCCACTGTCGGGACGCGCAGCCGCTGAGGAGAAGCTGGCTGAGGGCTCTCTGCGGCCTGGGCAGCTCCTTAGAAGAGACTTACAGTGTTGTTTGTCTAACGGATTCGGCACAGACGGCCACGGGAGTCAGGACTGGGGAATTTGGTGTTCTGCGCCCGGCAGTCACGCCCTCCCCAGTCCCTCTCCTGAGGCTGCAGGCTAGAGGCCTCTGGGGAGGACTGGAACTGGCAAAGCCAAAGCGTGACCTTCCCGCTGGCACTGGTATTTTGGATACCATTCCGTTCCTTCCCAATATTCTTCAAGTAACCGTTGTTTTTCTACAAATAAAGTTTTTTTTGAAAAAGCAAAATACCATCAGCACATCAAAATCTCTGGAACCTCCCGTTACAAAAACATTGGCAATTTTGGTAACATAAAGACAGATGCATTTTTTGTATAAAGCTGATTGGTGTTTGCTTATTACTCAGTTGTATTATTACTTTTTTTTAAATGGTAGGACTTCAGAAGAATATGTTGTTTCATCCACACTTTTAACATTCCTACTAGTATGTCATTGTGAGGTTTTCACGGTGACAAATTCTGCAGTAAGGCCTTACCTTGTTTCTGGTTCTTCATTATGGCTTCACCAGTTTTCAGGGCATGATTTTTCTGCCACCACTGCATGAAATACTGCATTCAGTGGTTAATTCACATGTGTGTGCTGAGCAAGGCAGCTGGAAGAGTGCTGAAGTGTTCGTTTCAGCTTGCAGGAAGAGAAAAATGAGTGTGGTCATTCCAAGGTGACACAACAGTTTGCAATCCTACATTTGTCACTGTACTTGCATCTGGATGACTGCAGGACAAATCATCGTAAAAACCACATAGTCTCACTGAGAAACACCTAATTCTATATTCTTTATTTTCTTGATACACACCTAGGAATAGATTTGCAGAAGCTCTCAATGCTTTGTCTTTTCATTCACTTTGATGGAAGCCATGCTTTGAATATATCAAAGCTTTTATAAACTTCCTAAGATTTAAAAATAGGAGGGGGAAAGTGTAACTACCCTGAATAAATTAGAATCTCTGTATTGCAGATTGACAAAATTGATGGGCACTCAGTGGTTTGAAGCAAGTCCCTATAATCTTTGCTTTCCCATCAGTAAAATATACTACTACTCCTACTACAGTAAAATATACTACTTTAATAGGTGAAATATAATTTCTGTGATATTTTCAACATGGTCAAATATTGGGATAGTTTGGAATAGTAGTAGGGATTTTCTTAGTAGACAAGTAAATCTATACATGCTCAGGGCAAGCTTTGCCTGATGTAGAGAGAATGAGACCTGGAGCCCCACATTTAAAGAAGGATAAAAGGAAATAACAGGTAACTAACTGTTCAACACTTCCAACTTTCAAAGTGCTAATCATATGGAAAAAAATGCCTTATGTCACGTGTGGGGAACAAAGAGGCATCAGAATATCTGGTTTATCACTGGCAGGTTTAGAGTCATCATGGCCTTTGTGGTGGTGTTCTGTGGTCCCCTTGCAGTGCTTTGGTAATTTAAGATTGAAATACAGTGCACACACAGGATGACATTAATTACTTTCCTCTGACATTGCCTACCTTAGGACTCATTCACTTTACAGCCTTAATGTCTGTTAATACCTTAATGTGTAATTTTCTACTAGAAATAACAGAAGTAGCCCCTGACTTATTTTATATTTGAGGTAATCACCAACCTAGGAAAGCAAGGTTATGATCCAGTTATTTCAGTTTTATCTGGAAGTTACTTTTGTCTGGTTTGAATTCGTTGTACACCTCAATAGAGTGACAGGGGCACTCAAGTGCAAAAAAATTCTTCTACCACCTGTACAAGAAAATGAGATTGACATTCAGCAGCTGTGTATGAAAACTGTCCTAAACCAGCAGTAACTGGTATATTTGACAAGGTGTAACCAAAAATTTTTAAACTGCATGACCTTAAGAACCACAAAGTCAACAAGGATTAGCTAATGTCTGGGTGAATTTATGTAGACTGCAAAGCTAGATTGTGGATCAAACTGTTGACAAGCTAAAGAAAATGGCACCATGTTCACTCTTTATTTAGTAATAAGAGTGAACATGGTGCTATTTTTTGCTGGAAAAAAGAGAATGTATTATTATGGTAGAGAAACAGATGTTTCAAGAAGCAGACTTCTTTGGTGCCTGTGTAGCACCAGGAGCTCATCCTCTCTTCTGTCCTAGCTCTACATCTACTGCCTTTCTCTTGAGTAGGTCTGTGCAGAAATGTTTGATTGACAGAAGATTTAACTTCAACTATTCTTTGATTCATTTGACCTGTGGAAGAATAATTTGTGGCTCTGAGTTGAGTGTGTCATTGTTTACCCTATGGTTTACTGCTGTGTGTGATTGTTTTATTCATGTTGTTTATTCATATTTGGAGAGGCCTGTGCCCTCCCCAGCTCATCATTTAGTCCAGCCTCAAGCTGTATTTTTATACCTTTAATCCATTTATCACTGTTTTAAAAAATAAAACATCTGCACATTTTTACTATTATGTTCTGAACTTTCTCCAGTCAGTCAGTATCCTTGAATATGTAGACATCTGGAACAATAAATAATTTTCTGAAAGCAACCTCTGAAGGACCATATAAAAAGCAATTTACACATTTATTTTCTGTAAATGTTGATCTTCAGATACAGCCAAAACATCACATTGACTATTGAAATGACAAACTCCTCTCTCTTCAGTATATTTCTTCTGGATTGCATGCTGCTCTCTCTCTTTGTACAAGGGAGTTTGAAGGCATTAAATAACTGCTCTTTTCCAGAAAGCCTTGCACAGCTCAGCTAGTGTCAAGGCACTGAATATAATTAGAGAGTCAGAGACTGTAAAAAAACACTGAGGAGAGTGGAGGGGGGAGTAGCTGTAGGCATGCAGGAGAGCTGTGGAAAAGGGAAGCGGGAGCATCCCAGGAAAACACCACAGTAAAAGAGTCAGTGCAGGCCAGGTGCTGCACAGGCACTTTGTGTCATTCCCTCTGCAAGGAGCCTTGCCTTCCCTGCTCTCAGAGAAGTGGGAGGGAAAGTGCTATTTTACTCCTTCTTACAACTCCATCCAAAGTCATAAATTAATTTCTTCACATAAGGCAGTCTCTGCATGAGTGTCTGTTACACAGACAAATGTTTTCAAACCTTATCATAATTAAACACACCCAAGCACTCCATGGCTCTGCTTATATAAAGCATGAAAGAAAAGAAAACAAAGAAACAACCACTCTTGGCCATCAGGAAGGCATCAAAAATCTTGCTTGTCAAGTCAAAAATGTTGCTGAGCTTCCAAACACAGTCCTGGGATGAGTAACATTATTTAGGTCCCTATTTCTGAAAATTGTGTGCAGTCGTGCTGGAAGTATATTTGGGGCAGGCTCTTAAGGCTGCAGTTGCTGGATGGCTTGTTTTCTGAAGGCTTTGTACTGCCCCCAGTTGTCAAGACCATATGTTATTTTGTTTGGGAGTAATTTTATTCGTTCCAGTCTAATCATTCGTCTGCCAGAATGGGACTTCATTATTTTAATTTTTTGGTTGTGATCTACTGGATCTGGCTGGGATGAAGCTAACTGTTCCTAGCAGCCCTTTGGTGTTAAATTTTGGGTTTATGGCTAAAGAAAATGATGTTGTTAAGATAATAGCTATGTGGCTATTGCTGAACAGTAGTTGCAAACACAAGGCTTTTGCTTTTTCCCCTGCTGTGCTGCTCCTCCTCCACTCCAGTGAGTATGAGTAGGCTGGACCTGTGCAAGAAGTTAGGAGGAGACCCGATAAGACACCTGATCTGAATTGAGCAAAGGGGTGTTCCATGTTGTACAACGTTATGCTCAGCAATTAAACCTGAAGTAGAGGAAGAAGAAGATGAGGGATTTTTTCTTTCATGTTGGCCATTACTTGCAGATTTCTCATGTGGGAAATAGTGAGTCATTGTCTTTGCATCACTTAGTTCTCATAGGATTATTTTCCTCCTTTTGTCCCTTACTCAAATGTCTTTATCTTAACTCCTCAGTTTTCTTACATTTTCTCTTCCTGTTCTGTCCCCTGTCCTGGGGTGCATGTGGATGCTTGGCTGCTGGCAGTACTCAACTTACATCAAGTTATTTCTGCTGTATTACCTGGTTATTTTTGAAGCCTTCTTTCTGAGATATGTCTGATTGCCAGCTCATTTATAAAGACGGGTCCCAAGTTCAACCACTTTGTCTGTGGATAGAGAAATAAGCAATTACTAGGACAACAATCACCATGAAATGGTCAATCCTTTTTCCATCACATGTGGGAATGCAGAAGTGAGAACAAAAGTAATTTTTAATCATTTAGGACTCAGGGTACAAAGCTCAGGAATTTGATCTAATGGATCAGATTATGTATTACTATTGAAGCCAAGAATAAGAATTTCCTTGAAAAGGAATGAGCAATTCTTGTCCCTTTCACTACTCATCATTGTCCTCAGTTTTCAACATCTGTTGAAAGTGTCTGGATTGACTTTTGCTCCAAAGTCTTCACTCTCTCTGGCTTTGTAGAAGTAGCTCTGTAGCTCCTTCTTGGGTTGGCAAAGAA